CATATTAATAGTCCAGTTTCTGCCAAAGACTCCTCATAAATGTTACACACTTGGACCTTTAAGTCCAATATATTCTCTCTCCCTTTTTAAATTTATTTTGTTATTTTTTGGGGTGGATTTTAAATTTGCCTTTTAATCAATAGTCGAAGCTAAACAGACCCCCAGGAAAGGAGGGAGGGAGAGAGGAGGGAGGGGAGAGGGAGAGGGAGAGGGAGAGAGAGAGAGAGAGAGGAGAGAGGAGAGAGAGAGAGAGAGAGAGAGAGAGAGATTAGCGCCACAGCAGGGCCACAAGGTTGGATCAGACCCTGCCAGTGAGGACTCTAGCTAGGTGAGCTTTCCAGGGACCCCATTTACCCTCGTTTTAGCTCCTGTTTTCTTTCGTCCACTGCTTCTGATGAAAATGATCTGGCTCTTTCCAACAGCTAAATGCTCCACTATTGTTTAAAAAGTAGAACTATCGCCGTGCACAGCAGTGCTTCCCTTCTCCCCAGCTGGTTAAACAGAACAGACAAAAGTAAACCAGTCACAAAAAATATATTCCAAGTGCACCACCAGGATGCAGCTAGGAGTGGGAATGTTTTGATTGCATTAAAAAGCAACAACCAAATGGGGGCACGCCTGTGATTAATGCCCATAAGATGTGCCTTTTAACTACAGATACAGCTTTCAAACTGTGATTTGTAATCTAAAGTAGGCATGATAAGTCAATCACCCGCTAATATATTTTAGGCTCTAGTAATCTCTTGGTTCTAATACAAAATAACCAGAGTAAGCATCATGTATCTAATTGTGAGCAATGGTGTTTTAATGGGGATCAAATAGTGCAATCTATAAATAAACAGGTCGACGGGATGGCTTGCGTAGGATGGTTGCGACCCATACAGGATATGACTCACACAATTATGTTAGAGTGCTGCTTTGGGAAGAGCCAGCCATGAGGACATGACTTGACTGTTATATCTGAGGTGGGAGAATTCAATATGGTGGATCTTGTCATTACTAGCTGGACTGTGAGAGCACAAGAGCTAAGACAAGGCAGGTGAGAGTCTGGTACGTATTAAATACTGCTGTTTTATTGTGGCAGAATTGAATTAAATATTTGAAATAATTAAAATTTATTTTTATTGCTTTTGTCGAACCATGTAATAGTGTAATATCAATTGAATTCAAATTAATTAAATCCCTAGCCAGCACAACACTAGTTTTCTCCTCTTTGGGTAATAAAAGCTGAACAGTGCACAGAGAACTTTGGTTGGAAAATGAGCCAACAAATATTAGTAGAGATGCTTGTTAAACCATCCTCAGGATTAGCAGGGCAGTTAGAAAGCCTTGCTAATGTTTTCATTAATGAAATCCATGCAACGATCACCAGTCAATATTGAAGACCTTTGTGGAGGGACTTCTTCAGCAAACAAGCTTTAAGAGACACAAAGGCTGCTCAGTAAACAATCCCTCAGTTTTCTGAGTTTTGTCAGTCCTTATGAGGGCCCCTTTCATCGTGTGTAGTGAGAGTCTCAGAAATTATGTTAGTTAACAGGACATTTTCTGAACTTTTTAGCACCATTTTCCCCAAAAATATAGAAAAAATAAAAGCATGATCTGCCAAGCGTTTATCCCGTTTAATCCTCGATCTGAGAACTTTGCCTTGTGTCTATGTCTGTTGGAAGAGCGTCATAAATTAAACTGTTATAATATAAAACAGGATTTAATGGGTATTGATATTTATTGGTATGTTTTCATTGGTGTATAATCACCTGAATATAGGAATCATGTTTTTGTTACCTTAGAATATCTACAGACGCCGTGGGTCACCTTCCGTGAAGTTCGCCATGTTGAACCGCCATGTTTCTACAGTATCTCACAACGAACAAACCAAACACTAGCTGTAAATAGGGCCTTCCATGGCGTTCAGTTAGTTGCAATCTGCAGCTTAACTGCTGGGTGTCACCAAATCCTACACACGTTGTACAAAACATTAAATTACCTCAAGATTTTTCTATCCTCACCTTGTACAATGACAGCAGGCGATGATTTTTAAAGGTCATGCTTTGGTATCAGGAGCTCAAAATCAACGACCGAGGTCTTCATTCTACACTTATCTCACAGTTCAACAGTAATTCAGGTGGAAATCTGTCACAGAAGCGAGAGCATTACAAAATATGCCATCAACAGCAACCTCAGTAGAGCACCAACAGCTTCTTTATTGATCTTCCTTTGGTGTGAAATACAACTCCTTCTTTCATTTCTTATACAACTTGACATGGTAGATACAGTATTGATCTCTCTCCCTCTCTCTACCTGAAAACTCACCCTGTCCTCGTGCACCAGACAGCTCAAAGAAACCCAGTTCTTGCGCTGTTGAAAGTTATTTTTAGAAAATGTTAGAAGTCTAGTAACAAATTAAAGTAGCATTTTAGCTCAGTACTGGCAGAGAGAGAGACTGTCAGCTTTTAAACCACTTCTTCAGATGTGTTTCTACACACAAGCTTTCATGTGAGGTTTTACTTTCCAATGTCCCTCCATTATTTAAGATTGTTGGTTATCTTACCGTATACTTTACCTTTAATTCTATCTACTGTACAGCCCATCCACAGCCATATGTACTCTTGCTGTGATTTATTGTATTTTGTTAACTTTATACGCTAAAATGCAAGATTCTTGTTTTTTCATATTTATTTTGGCAGCATCTTTGCTGTTGAGGGCTCATTGCTGTGGAGGTTTTTCCACTGCAGTGGGCCCTCGGCTCCTTTCATTTCTTGTGATTAAACTCAAAACTGTGGGTGGTTCTGTTACACATGTTTCTATGTGTTCATGGTGGTTTTGAACACTCTGGCTATTCCAAACAAACCATTTTTGTGGTAGTGTTTAAAGGAATGAAAATATCTTTCACATTACTTTAACTTCGTAATGCTGTTACAGTAGAAGAAGTAGAGCCCAATTTACTGTCATCTCTACTGTAGGCGTCTGATGACCCGTCTCTCCTACTGAGCTCCCCCATCCTTGGAGCCTCTGTGTCGCTTCAGTCTGCAGCAAAGGCTCCCTGCTCTGAAGAGCACCAGGTCCAGCTTCTCCAGAAACATCTACAGCAGCAGGAACAACAGGCACTAGCAGCTTCAGCACAGGTACTTTATTTCTTTCTATTTTCTCCCAATGAAAAGTCCTAATGGCATTGGTTGATACAGTGTTTACAGTTTGCTGAATTGAATCATCTACAAAGTCTACAATACAAATCACACATCCTAAATGGGTCACAAATACATTTGTATAGAATTTAGAATATAGATTAACCAGTCTGTACACCACAGGCTGCTGCTATCCACCTGTTATAATATCATCACACAGCTAAAAAGAGTGGAAAATGGTTAACGACATGATATAATTTATATAGCCAGTTTTGCTAATCAATATTGTAAATACCAGATTATCAGACTTTAAAGCTGATGTTGCTCACATACTGTTTCTCTTCATTGATTCGTCTGAGGAGAGTTCTGCAATTCAGGGAATTCAGAAGCAGTAAAATCAGCTCCTATTGTTTCCCTCAATGTAGTTTCTGTGGTTGCCATGGTCACACGCAGAGTCGCCGGCAAATTAAGAAGTTGAACCATCATGAACTCCAGTAGTAGTGTCAAGAGCAAGCGCTGCCACTGTGTTTACATTGAAAACAATGGACGCTATCTGGAAGCACCTGAGGAGTTACAATCATGTTAGTGGTTCTGTGCGGCTGTATTTCATACTTTCATGGTACAAAGGGCACAGCAGTGCTTTGAAAATATTAAATGGCAATCCATCTAACAGTTCACTAAAAACCACAAATGGTTGCACCAGAGGAAAAGTCAAGGGATCAAGAAAGTCAGAGGGACACATTCCCTGGGGACCATGAATCTCTGTACAATCCTGGCAATCCAGCCAGTAGCTGCTGAGATATTTTATTCTGGTATACATTTAGAATTAACAGAATTTAAAGAGCTTTTTTATTTAATGAGTTGCTGACAACCCAAAAGAATAGTTATATATTCAAGTCATATTAAATAATCCCCTGATTAATATTATTGGAAAAGTTCTATTGCTTGACACTTTCCGCTCACATAACGAAACAAAAATCAATCAAAGGAGTAAAAAAAACAGGAATCACAGGTTAATCTGCAGAATGATAATTAGAAAGATGCGCTATTTCCATTTTCAATCAGTGGTGTGTTAAATAGGATGTAGCGAGGTATTTCTGGTCATTAAATTCTTACCTCATTCATTCCTCTAAACTTTTACTTTTGAAAAGTTTCACATAAAATTAAATTTAATTAAATATGTCTGAGCCGTGGTTTCAAGGCCTTTGAAGATTTGAGTTTTGAGTTCTAGTTCAGTTTGGTTGATTCAGTTGAATATTAATGCTGATGTGTGATTTCTGTTGAACCTTTGAGTGAGCGAACTCCAAACTCAAGAGTCACTGTGGTATTTAATTAGCAGGTTTCCTCCTAATGACAGAATGAGTTTTATTAAAATACTGGGTCTAATGAGAAAAAATAAATTTGCATTGTAAAAAGGAAAGAATCGCTTACAATAAAACCAGTTTTTGTCCCACGTGTGTGTGTGTTTTGGTCTGTTCAGGTCCATGTGCTCCAGGAGCAGCTGTCAGTGGAGGTGTGTGCGCGGACTGAAGCCCAGGCCAGAGTACAAAGGCTGCTGCAGCAGAACACCGACCTGCTGCAACACATTTCCCTGCTGGTCAAACAGATCCAGGAACTGGAGCTCAAATCTGCTGGCCAGTTAACATCTAGTGAGTGAAAATCCTCTGTTGCTGTACTATTGAGCTTTCTTTTTCATTTACAGTATGTATTACATTTTATTTGGTTGCCTTCCTCTATTTCCATATTTCTCCGCTACTCATTTCTGTAATAAAATCCTTTTCTCCCTCCATCACATTTGCCTCCATCACTTTCTTTCCTTGCCTCCTGTCGTTATGGCTCCTTTTCTCATCCAATTCTGGCACGCAATTAATTATCCCGTGGCAGCCCTCTCAGAGGATTCAGTTCTGCGCTTTGCTCTCCCCTCTCCCCTCTCTGTGCTTAGCCAGTGGCAATGCACTGCCTTATAGTCATGAATTATCAAATCCTGTCACCCCACTCCATGTAATCTCATCTGCCTTGCTCAAACCTCTCTCACTTATGCCTTATGCTCTCTGTTTACATGTGATAACTACACATTTTCTCTTTGCTGTGTTTCATCTTTTATCCTTCTTTTCATATTTTGTCTCCGTCCTTAGTGGGCTCCCAGGACAGTCTTCTGGAGATCACTTTCCGTGCCAAGCCCCCCAGCCTGCCCCGTGAACCCCTCACCTCTTCTTCATCTACGGGCGCTTTAGCAGCTCAGTCCCTGCTCCAGATTAGTGACGGTGCCTGGGTCTCCACCCTCCCCGGACCCTGCTCTCCAGGCACCATGGGCACCAACACCAGCCCTCTGGGGCTCGGCGGCAGTGGAGTTCGACTCGAGTGCTTTCGCTTCTCATCCCGGGGGCCGGATAGCCAGGAGCAGGGCCAGGACAGCGGGGAGACTCCCAGCGACGGAGCCCCGGATGAAAGCTCGCTACTGGGGGAGCAGGTCCTGGGAGCCCTGGAGCTTCTCCGGTTTAGGGAGTCTGGGATCGGATCGGAGTACGAATCAAACACAGATGAGAGCGATGACCGGGACAGCTGGGGGCAGGGGGAGGGAGCGGGGGCTGACGGTGCTGCTCGACTCTTAAACGTGCTGAATGCAGAGAGTCTGCCGGACTGCTTAGGGGATGAGATGGCTGTGTAGTGGTGCTATTGATGCTGCACAAGGAAACATTGCACTTATGCGCCACCCCAGTGGGTGACAGAGCAGTACAATTCAGAATATGAAGGACTTTATTACACAGAAATCATGTATTGTGACTTCAGTAAAATGAAATTATTTGTGTCTGGTCCTGGAGTGCTCACTCACCATTGTTCTGGGTAAAGTTTTGAATTTTACCTTTATGTTTTGATTTGCTACTTCCTGTGCACTGAGGAAAGGACCCACTTGCTGTTGTGAGTGGTGGAACTCATAAAATCAAATAAGACAGGGATGCAGAAAGTTGAATTGATACATTTTACATTGAAAAACTATCTTGATTTGGTCAAAAATGTGATTAATCAGTATTATTCATCACATGTGACTATGACTGGCATGGTCACTGGCAGTGCATGTTAATAAATACACACACCAAATAATACCAATATTAAGTTATAATAATAGAGTCATTAACCATAGAGATGTTTTACAAATCAAGCTTGTTTTTATCAAAGTAAATTTAAACAAGACTAAGAGTCTACCGCCATGCTATGTAGTAAGGCTCTGTGAGGTTGAGCTAAATGCTAACATCAGCATGCTAACCTGCATGTTCACCATCTTACAGTGGTTTAGCGTGTTAACATGCTATGATTTGCTAAGTAGCTAAACTGAAGTATCAGAGAAATAGAATTTTTTACCTGAGAGGAAATCATCAAACATCAGTCCAACTGCACTTTGATAAACTGTTTTGCAATTAAAGGTTTTCCCCGCCGCACACACTGGACATTAATTACTGTAATTCTGAAAACTAAAACATACCTTTTGTATGTCTTTGTTTCTCTGCTCCATTGCAGCTCAAAAGCCAAAAGAAAACTACTCTGACCATGTCTTATACTCCTAGATATGTCTTTGACACAGTGCAGCTTTATTCAAACCTAGGACTGTCAGATAGTATTAACACTGTGGTGTTTCAGGCTCTGTCTGTGTGTTACATACTGTGTGTACGTGTCAGTTTGATGATTGTTGTACCTTACATTTGGTTCCCTGAGTTGGTGCCATCGCCACTCACTGGACTCGTTACACTGTGGTCGTGTCTGTGTTTATGGATTTGTGACACATCCGGCATGGACATGGTCATTTTTGCTGTTTTCTAATGAAGATATATGAAGAAAAAGACCCCTTTGCCAAGTCCGTCTTGATATGCTAGCACACTGTTTGGAGTGTGAAAGTTAAAACCTTTCTGTGCTTGTTATGACACTTAATCTGTAATTACACATGGGTTTAAAAATGAGCATGTATCTCTCATAGTATGATTTTCTCCTCTTTTCAATACATTGTATATAGTTTGACTAACTTATATGCATTGCATAAAATACATAGCATGACTTTATTCATACTAGTCTTCATCCTGTTTTATATTATTGAAGAACATTTTCTGATGAGGTGATCCTGTGTTTCAGAGGGAAACATCTCACTATGTGCAGGTGCTGCTACAGATTTGTCTATTTTAAAGTGTAGCCACCACGTACTGTAAGTATTATTTGTTGATGCCGTACTGCGACAACCATAAACTGCTGTGTCACTGTTGCTCCACCCTTCAGATGAACTGTTTGGGAAGTACCTGTTCAGATAGAGGCGTATGAGACTTCTGGACTCACTTCATATTCTTCTGGCCAGCTGTCGCAGCAGGTCCACCTCGCTGACTGTGAGCCAGCTCTTTAAATCACTGAATTGGGGACGTGTCTTTGAGCTCTTTCCAAAATCAATTAATCTCTTCCTGGCCCTCCTCTCGCTCTCTCTTCCTCTTCCTCACTCACCTTCCTCCCCTCTTTTCCCTGAAGCTCGTCACCTCTCTCTTGCACTCAGTCTGTCTGCTCTATCCATTTATCCATATTTCTCTGTCAATCTGTCATTGCTCTCCAAGGTTATGTCTTTTCCCATGAAGTGTACTAAAAATTAAAGTGCACTTAAATCAATGTTTCTCCGTGTGGAATTACATGCTCTTTCTCAAATGCCGTCTGGTGTCATGATATGTTTACTGCATTTGGTGTGAGTTACTAATTGCTGTAATGAATCCATGGGCGATTTAACTGAAATATGTCTCTAACATAATGATAACCAGCACCAGTTCCTGGGCTGACCTTTTCAAAATGTTTCCCTCATTAGTATTTATAATTGGTTGAGAAAATGAGATGTGGACATGCAGAAGGTCTTTTGTGAGGGTGATGGCTCTCTATTTATACCAGCTGTGGTCATTATACAGGGTCATCTCCCATTAAGCTCACTGTGTGTGAAGACAGCAGCAGCTTGATGTAACGCTGCAGATAAACTGGAAAATATGAAGAATAGCAGCCATTACCCACCCACATTCAGCCACGACACCCTGCAGTTCTGCTGGTGCAGCTGCTGCTGACACAGATAGTGGGTGGCCTACAGGATGTGGCCTCTATTTGCTTGATTATGATGAAAAATGGTCATAATGTCATTTTACACACCATCTCTTGTATTCTGCCGGTAAAATAAATTGAAAAAACATTGTTTGACTGTACATGCAGTGTACAGCAGACTATAGCACTGTGGCTCTAGTGATGGCACTGATGATCCACCACTTCAATCCAGACTGAAATATCAACAACTATTGGATGGATTGTCATAAAATTTCATGGTCCTCAGGGAATAAGTCTTAATGACTTTGGTCTTCCCCATGCTTGTTATCTAGCATCACCAGTCGGTCAATTATGACATTCTACGGTCTATTATTGCAGAATAACAGACATTTGCTATGGATGCCGTTCTGAACTTAGACTGCAGGACCACAGCGAAAACAATAAAATCAATTTTAAATCAATATTTTGTGTCAAATTATTAATTTCTTTAGTAAGTAGCCGTGTGATAAGTGGAACAATGTACGACTCATGGTACATCATTACTCATTTATTACATAAAGAATGAATTGGCACAAAAACTGCACAAACATTCATGGTTCCTATATTCTCTTCTTATACTTTCTTGTACGCTAATATTAGCATGCTAACACACTCAGCTAAGATTGTGACCATATTAAAAATTAGAATTGCTAAACATCAGCATACAAGCTGACATTGTCATTGTGAGCATGTTAGCATGCTGATTAGCATTTCGTTCAAAACACCACTGTGCTTTAGTACAGCTTCACAGAGCTGCTAGCACGGCTGTAGTGCTTGTTAAAACATCCACCATCTTCCCAGCACATCGTTACATATTAATCATTTTTCCAATCAAACCTACCACTCATCCTCTCCTACAGATGTGAGTAAGTGTGGGAACCCCCAGTTTCTGCCTCGGTGTCATGAGGCTGGCAGCAGGGAGACTCATGAATCTTTAAATCTCTCTCTCATTCATTCATTTCCTGAAGGAAAAATGAATATATTTTATGGAGGGGCTTTTTTCCCTTTATTAAATAGAACAGCTGAAGATAGACAGGAAAGAGAGTAGAGAAAGAGAGAGAGAGGATGACATGCAGCAAAGGGCCACAGGCCGGACTCGAACCCTGACCGCTGCAGCACGGTACGCGGGGTGCCAGCTCTAACAGGTGAGTCATCCGCCTGCGCCCCACTCCTCATATCAGTCATGTGTCATGATGGCAGAATGATTTCTTCGTAATCACCTATTAAAGAAATAGTTTCACATTTTGGGAGAGTTAGATGAGAAGGTTGATACGACTCTAACGTCTGTAAGGTAAATATGTAGTTGGAGCCAGCAACCAGTTAGCTTAGCTTAGCATAAAGACTGGAAATGGGGGGAAAGGTAACTAAATATTCTTATTTATAGCACTGTACACTAAATATGAAGCTACATCCAACAGCAGCTTAGCTTAGCTTTGCTCAAAGACTGGAAACACAATGGGAAATGATAGCTATGCTAAGCTACTGCAAACTAACACTGTTTAAGCTTACAGCAGCATAAAGACTGCAACAAGGGAAACAGCTTGTCAGGCTATTTCCAGTAGCTGCTGTAGCTTCATATTTAGCAAACAGATATTGATCTTCTCTCTCGGCAAGAAAGCAAAGGCGTGTTTCCCAAAATGGGGAACAATTCTTTTAAATGAATGTGAACTATTTATGTAACTTTCATAATGAGAACAAGCTGTTAGTGATTAGCACTTAGCAGTCAGCGGTCAGACACACTGAAAACCCTTCACGGTGTTTTTAAATAAAGACCTGTATAAAAAAGGTGGCTTTCAATATACATTCTTTGTTTTTCTGTTTCTTTCCTGTTGCCATTACATTTACATCAGCCTTTATTTTCATACATCCTGGAGGAAGCCTTTCATGGTTACTTGTGTTGCTGCAGCAGCAGTTTAATTACTGTGAAAGACTAAAGATACAAATCTTTGTATTGTAAAGTTATATGAAAAAGAAAAAAGTTAGGAGACATTGGTGCATAATTTGCAATACATATTTAGTGCTTTTCCATTCCACCAGATTATTGTGATTCACATATTGATCACATTTATGATAATCAAAACTGGCTTCTGCCTCCCTTTCTGCTATAGCTGTTGTGTTCATTTTACTTTTAATTCCAGCTGTGACTCATCTTGTTTGTATCCGGCAAGTTTTTTTCTAAAACATCATGTCTGCTTCAGTAATTAGCAGGTTCTCCTCTGCAGGAAAGTGAACTCCAGTCTGTTTTTGTCAGTAGCTCTTGGTGGAAGCTGCCAGATACTGCTGCTCTCAGCTGCCTCTGTGGGCCGTAATTGAAACCATTTGTGGATCAGGTGGAATTCTGGGATTTTTTGGCCTCACCTCAAAATCCAAAAGCGTGTTATTTTCTCTGTTTCGTTCCTCCAGCCAGAAAGACTCTTACATCAGCCACCGTTTCCTCTCCCTCTCCCTCTCTCTCTCTCTTTTCCATTCCCAAAAAGTCCTTGTGAGGAGGAGGTCAGCGACTCGCAGCGCTGAATGCATCAACTTTCAGTAGATGTGGAATATTCCATGAAATAGATGGTTTCGTAATAACGAGAGAAGAACTTGCAAAAGTAAGTCAAATCCATATTTTTCTCATATATGAAACCAAGTATTCGCTTTGACTTTGCAGGAAGTTTGTGTCAGCTCAGCTCAGTATGGAAAGTGCCCTCACACAGGAAATACATTATACAAGTTGAAAATAAGCTCAAGAAATAGGCCTGTCTCACCACACATTTAGCTTTATTATTTTTCATTTTATTTGTATTATTTTAACCAAAATCAAAAAAACTTGTTTTTCCACTAGAAGGTTAGTCAGAGATCATGTCAGCTCTCCAGAAATGGAAACTCTACTGAGAAATACATTACAGACATGGGTTTTTGGCTATTAAATGCAGTTCTTATTTCCTTGTGGGTATGTGAGAAGAGTTATAACATGTTATACTATAGTAAGACTACATTTTATACACATCATACTGACACAGAACAACATTGTCCTCCCGCATCTATGGTGAACCGAACACGTGAAAGACTGTAAGTGGCGTCTCTAAACGGTGCTCTAAGTTCTATTATAGTTAAAGCTCCTATAGCTATATAACACACAAGAGTGAGCTATAAGTCACTGAGACCTTTGCAGGGTTTTAACAAGGTAAATAAAATGCAGGTAGAGCAAAACTCTTTGTAACTGGGTTACAAGGAGGACTGTGTGTGCATTTACCACTGTGGATCTCACCAGGGTTTCAGGGATGTTCAACTCTATAGAACTATTTGTAACATCCTACTATCCTGAAATGTAACTATTATACTACATAAATGCATTAAATGTTCTGTCTTTGTTTTTTTTTTGTTACCCTTTATATTTATTATTTTTTATAATTTATTTTTTCCAGTAATTATAATTTGTTACATACTAGTCTTTTAGCACAGCTTTAAGAGCACAGCAGTGCATTCTTAGGACACATATTGCATACACATATTACAAAATCTAACTATAAAGCACAGGATTTGCCATGTAAAATGTGCTGACATGAGATATAAAAACCTAAATGATGGCTTCTTTTTCATTGCCTTGATGTTTATGGCATGTTGTACTACTACTAATCTCATCCACTGATCTACAGCCTTGCTGAAACTTTTAGGTGTGCAGAGAAGAGATGAAGGTCATGAAGGTTCTCTCTCTCTCTCTCTTCTTTATCCTGCTGGCTGCCACTGTACGATCTCAAGTCAACCCAGGTATAGGAGATATGAATCTTTTACATCCATGCCATTATTTTTTCAGAGCAAGCGGAGGTTATGTATCTTGCTCAAGGACACTTTGCTAGGACATGTTAGTCATTGTCTCCATACACACACCAGTCAGACAATCAATGATATAAGGGGTTTAATTTTACACAGGTTTAGTGTTTAATGTGTGAGCCAGTCAATGCGGATATGTCATATATAAGCTTAAAATAACTTCTTCTTATTCCTGAGGGACAAGCATGTTGACAAGATGGAGAAGGAA